AGCTTCATTTGGCAAGTGGTCATGATCAGCACGTTTCTTAATTGTACCATCTGGTTTTATTGTTAAGCCAACACGACAAGATTTTTTAACACATTTCCAATACTTTGAATCATCATCATTTTTACGGAGACAATAATAACGAAAACCTTCATAACATACATGAGTTAGAACATAACACAGTTTTCAACTCGTAACATCCTTTTAAACTCGTACGAGTTCAAAACAGCCTCCCCAGCCTCCCCTATACCATATTAGAACATAACACAGGTTTCAACTCGTAACATCTTTTTAAACTCGCACGAGTTCAAACAGCCTCCCGAGCTTCCCCTATACTATATTAGAACATAACACAGGTTTCAACTCGTAACATCTTTTGTAAGCGTTTTCTCATCTCGTTACGAGTACGAATTTAACATCAATAAACATTAGAACGAGTTCAAAACTACAGGATATGATTAATTTTCTCCGCGAAACATGATTATAAGACCGAAAAATCGAAAAAGCATATTTTGGTTATTGGGTTTTCCAGAAAACCTTAGGGTTTTGTAAAATTTCTTTTGAGATCTCCGATAAATAGGATATAGAATAGCTTAAAAGCTCTACATTCTGAAAATTTGAACTCGTTCTGATGTTTATTGAGTGAATAGTGAATTTTTTAATATTAGGTGAAAACAGCCCGGAAACCCAAATTTTCGTAAAACTGGCTTTTCGATAGATTTTTAGAACTTTTTCTAGAAATAATTACTGCCACGAGACTCAGCATGATCGATTACCTATAGTCCATCCGTTTTCAAGACTATCAATGGTCACTGGGTGCCAGTCCTGGGACGCGTAGGAAATCCGACACAACACTAGAGCCGCAGAAAATCCAGATTTCGCTCTACTCTCATTTTGAAGAAGACACGTTGGACTATCAGACCAGGGAGGAAAATCAATACAATCCTATTAAAAAGTTTTTACACGCGACCTGGTTTTTCAAAGATCTCCTAGAAAAGCTGTTTTAGAAAACCGAAAATCCGAAACATCTTCCGGTTTTGAATAAAGCTGAAAACTTTTTCTCCTTTTTATTTTGAAACTCTCAAACAGTTTTTTAGAATTCAGCGTTAAAAACTGAATTAGCAAATGTGTTTTTGATGGTTCCCATATGTAATGTCACTGCACGAAAAATTCATGTTCAAGGATGTCTCCAAAGCGAAGACCTCGTCGCAAAACGCTACCTAGTTTTTTCTGTTAAAAGATGAAACCTTCATTCTTCGGCCATTCGATCGGGCTTGATTCGTACTACAAAAGTATCGTTCGGTTTTTTTGAAATTTCTCTCTATTGTCGAGAAATGTCACTACTGCTAAATCCGGAGCGAAAAAATCGGAATCCTGCCCGTAACCTTCAATTTCCTCCACTAGCACTCACTCTTTATGCAATAAAAGTATCATATTCGAAGTCAGCGTCAAAAACTGAGTCCAGTGAAATATGTTTTGAAAGTTTTCGTTGATTTTTATATTTTGGTGAAAATCTCAGCAATTTTTCGAGATGAGAATTAGAAAAAAACAAGAAAACGATTCAAAAATTGATATAAACCTCCAAAGTTCTCTGGTATGCTCATGAAAGCGCCTTCAACAGATTCCCCAGGCTGGAGTAACTATTCCAGTACATCTCTCCCGCTGATTACTGGATTTCATTAATTACTATGGCTTCCCGTTAATATATTTTGTATATTCTTTCTTCTTTCTTTCTTTTATTTTTATTGACAGAAAAAGAGTAATAAGACAAGATGTTACATGAATTGTGTCAAAGGGGGTACATCAAAAAGCATAAAGGGCTTATAACTACAAGAAAAAAGTTATGGTAGACATACACCTGATAGAAAAGTAGTATCCATGTATATATAACAGATCAGAACGAACTCAAATACAATTTTAAATTGCTTTTAAAAGATTTCACTACTTTCGCTTATTTATAAGGGATTTTTTTTGAAATCTTCAAGTTGAAAAATTACCGAGATATTCACCCAAAACTGAGAACCAACTAAAAATTTCGTACATATCAGTCGACTCAGTTTTTGATCCTAATTCTGAATATGATAGTTTTATTGCTCAAAGAGTTCTGATCGAAAAAAAAGAGAATTACGGCCGAAATTCCGAATTTTTCGCTTCTGTTTTTTGCAAGTTTTTTGCCAGAGTACATCTTGATATTCTGACATAATTTGGATAAATCTTGACTGGTTTATGAATTTTCTAATTTTATTCAAAAAGAGGCAAAAATGGGTTACTTCACGTAATATACGGTTTCAACAGGTTTTTGGAACTGTTTTGAAAAACAAATGTTGCCAGAAGATTCACCGTAGTCGATTACCTATGTTTCCATCCGTTTTTGAGATTACCACACCTAAAGAAATATTGATTCTGGGGCCTCGAGGAAATCCGATGCCAAGCTTAAACCAACCAAAAACTAAGAGTTTGCTTGATTCCCATTATAAACAGGATACTTTGGGCTACCTACGTATAAAAAAAAATCGATAGGTTGCCGTTTTAGTTTTGACAGATACGAAGTGGTTTTCCAGAGATCCTTTAAAAACCCGATCCTTGAAATTTTTCCGAAACCAGTTTTTGCTTATGAAAACATAGCTTAGAGTCCTGGATATCGATTGTTGAAAACCGCACGTTAATATCTTGCGTTGTTCATGACTTATAAATAAGTTTGACTGATATGTGCTTAAACAAACATCGGGAATGAACGGGTTAAGGAGAGACATGATACTTTTTTGATCGGAGGGTCACGTTTCTGAATTCCCTTGGAAACGAATTTTTCCCCGCCGGCTTCGTAATATGCGAAAACTTCAAAACCACATTTTCATATGCAATTTGCAATGCTAATTCAGAAAAAAAATATTTCAAAGCTCCGAAGTGCAAGGAGAAAAAACCATCATCTTTTTTCTCGAAGGACGAGTTTTCTCGGTTTTAGTATCCTTCCCGTATTTTTCGTTGTTCATTGCGAAGGAAAGTCTGGAAAGGTTTTAAAGATGATTTTCGGATTTAGCTCGCTCTCCTATATCCAACCATATGTAAATATTGAGAAAACAAAATAGTATCGTAACTATGAATTAACGGCGCCTTATCAATATCTTCAAAATGACAAGAAGAAATTACCTTATCCGTTGTTCTACTTAGAAAACCTTTTGACATTGAATCAACTATATCAATTAATTTTACTTCGATTTCAGTATTTTAACTTTTGGTAAGTAGAACATTTAGTTTCTCTGTCCTTCTCAGGGCAACGAATTTTTGAGAACTAAAATTGAATCTCTGTCGTTTCGCCAAAAGACGATTCGCCAAAAGACAATTCGCCGTGGCGAAGTGTCACGGGACGTTTGGCCAATTGGCGAAGTGTCACGGGACGTTTCGCCAATTGGCGAAGTGTCTTATGCCGTTTCGCCGGAGCACGATTCGCCAAAAGACAATTTCCTGGAAACCTCCCTCGAAATATATATTTTCAAATAAACTAAACAAACTAAAAAGAAATTCGATATTCCATGGTCTATTCGCCTGTTTAAGGATGAGCAGTTGAACAGTCTTCGTATGTAAACGGGCTGAGATTAAAAGAAAAGAATTAAGAGGCGAGATAGAGAGAGATAAGGAAGAACACGGAAAATAGACAGGAAGAAAAGATACATATAAGTGTGACTTATAGAGATAAAGAAAGTATAGTCGGATGAGTTTTCCGCTTCTTTCCTCTTTAAAATGTTTTCCCTATAGTCAAGCGACATTTTCTTTACATATGTATTATCATAATTTAAATAGCGATACCTAAGTCAAGTTAGGGATCAAGAATCAGTGAGATTCCTAAGTTAACTTGGGGACTGATAACAATTTACGGTGTTCTAACCATTTACTGGCAAAATGTCATGTGCCATTTCGCCAATTGGTGAAACTGTACAAATTCTGGGCGAAACGGCATTGACACTTCGCCAATGGCCGAAACGACACATGACATTTCGCCATGGCGAATTGTCTTTTGGCGAAACGGTTTTTTACCCTAAAATTTGTCATTCCATTCAAACTGTTTTTTATGCGAGACCAAGCTTCGTAACCAGCGAAGTTGGACACTAGTGAAAACTACAGAAGTGTTCAAGTATGTGGCTGATCTATGTGACAATTTATTATGTAAACCACTACCAGAAACAACCATTTTATGTAACTTAACACATGTTATGTGAAACATTATACTAAAATGAAATCACTTTTACTGACTCGTTCAACGTCTCATCTAAATCTCTCATCCTCTCATCCAATCTCCACCGATAACTCCATTTTGGAATGGATCTGTCAATGTCCTGCGGGAAGCAGAACAATCGGCATGTGTTCAACATCGATCTCACAAAATTATTTCGATTATTTTAAAGATGCCGCGCAGGCAAGCTCTATTTCCGATTCGGAATCGGAAGATGAAGATGTGTTGTATACTGTTGCCTAATTTAAAAGACGGAAAATCGTTCCCTGATGGGTGTTGATTAATGTTTTGTTATTTTTTATTTTATGTTATGTTTTAGGTGCGCTCGAAATGAAACTTTCTCGAAGTAAGGCGGACTCTACGTGCCGAGAAAGACTCACGGTAGTTCAGTAACGATTGAACTCCGGGTAACAACCTTACATTTTATATACAAAGCACGGCAACCTTTTAAAGGTGCAGAAGGGACATGTGCTTCACTTGAAAAGTAATAAAAAGTTTCTTTTAAATGTAATGACTTCAATCTACCATTATAATTAGTAATACTAGTAATAATTTACATTTTTAACCATGACGCACACTTTTCGAAGTTCTCCTTTGATATCCATTGGATAAAGTAGTAATAAAAGCAGATACTACAGCCATTAACCATTACTTTATTTGTGGTAAACAAAAGTGTAAAAATGTCTTTGTTTTTCAAGGAACATGCGATCATTTAAATCAAATAAAATACCATCTAAAAGATAAATGAAAAATTTATTTCTGACATGCAGTGGCGGATTTGGTCAATAGAAAGAAAAATTACCAGTAAAGCTATCACGAGTGAGATAATAAAACTATGACGAAAGAAGTAATCTTCTTGTGGGATTACTACATAAGCGCAAATCAGTAATAGAATAAGTATGATGGTAATTAACCATTTTGAAATTCTATCTGAAAAAGACGAACCAATCAAATTTCCTGAACATTTTCCGTTTATACTTACCCCTCTGTTGAATATCGGCTAATTGCAGTCTAAATCAAATGGTTGTGACATACAGAGGATTTCAGGCTCGAAAGAAGGACGCCGTATAAGGTTGATAGTCAAACCGTTTCATCTCGTACCGTAAGTTTCATAAAAGTATGTGTTTTCGTTTGATGGTATTAACTTCGCGTGGTAGTGGTTATTAATATTTGGTGCTTTCTCATTAACAGAATACTAATCGATCATTCCTCAATATCAGTTATACGAGGAGTAAAAAGTGTTTTACGCATGTTTTTTTCAATAAATATATGATTGGACAGCTCTTGAAATTTTCTATGAAAGATGTAAAAAATAACAGTTAAACGTTCTAAGTTTAACAGTAAACCTACAGAAGTTAATAAATGAACCTATTGATCATGTAGAGTTTATTTCATGGCAATATTTGTTTCCACTAAACAATGACAAAACCTAGTGAAAATGAGTGTAGAAGAAAATTCTGAGCAAGTACAAACGTAAAATAATTCCTATTCGCTCTAAATTCAGATGTTTTTCTTCAAACTCATTTTTATCACGTTTCAGTACCACGTATTTTTCATACTGGCTGCTGCCAGCTATTCTGAAATTCTGACTATGCCTTTTGCTCGATGTTTCATCAAGTTCAAAATCGCATGTAATTGTAAAATGCATGTTTTTGGTTAGGGAATAAAAAGAATACACCAGTGAGGGTTGTCTAATGTGGTATGTGTGTCAGAGCTCCTAATCGGATGAATTTCTGATGGCCCGCCTGGACCAAGTCGGGCCAACAAAAGTCGAGGCCTGCCCGACCCATCATGCTAATCGATTGGCCCAGCCAGTAGCCTTTCCTGGACCGCCCGACTTGAGCCCGACTGTAATTGTTTCTAGACTCAATTCAATTTTGTCATGGCAAAAACGCAGTAAAAGCTTTGCTAAAGATTAGTTCAGCAGCATATACATATTGTACAGCACATATTCAAGAATCTATTGTACAATAAACTCAATAAAGGATACAATTCCTTTAGATGGTGTATTTGTTTCTTCTTCTATCATTAGTTACCTGAATTGACCAGTGATCAAACTCTTTTTTTCTCAACAGAATTCACTAAATAATAATAACATATTGTTACTAGGAAATAGCCAAATTTAACTGAAAATATGGAGAAAAATTTTAAAACTTCTCGGGCCGAGCCGGACCGTAAAAAACGCTGACCCGACCAAGCTAAAAGCTTTTCTCGGACGGCCCGCCCGGCCCGAGAAAAAAAAGCGACTGGCTCGACCCGGCCTGATCCGAGGCGGGTCGGGTCATCGAGTCGGGTGGATCGACAGGAGCTCTGGTGTGTGTAGGATGGCTCTATCGTCATAAAGATATAATGAAAAGATCGAACGAAATTAGATATGCATCAGTTCAGTTTTTAACTGTCAGAACCAGAACGCGTTGCAAAAAAATTTCGATATGAATTCAAAAGAAATTTTAAATTCTATTGAAGAAAATGCAGGTAAAAACTCAAAAGTCTTTTAATAAGAAACGCTTTTTGGAGATGGAATTTATGGACTATAAGTAATCGCTAATGGAACTCATGAAGAGACTGCTCCTGTGATTCATATAACGCACTGACAATCTCTGTGAAAGTGTGGCTCCACTTAGAGATGCGTTAAAAAGTTCAAAAGCTAGTGGAAATTCATAAGGCTTGATAGACATCATCAGTGAGTTATTGAATCACAGGAGCAGTCTCTTCATGAGTTCCATAAGCGATTACTTATAGTCCATAAATTCCATCTTCAAAAAGCGTTCCTATTAAAAGAGTTTTGAGTTTTTACTTGCATTTTCTTCAATAG